GTCTCTATTTATCAATCAAAATACGTTTCGGTGTATTTTTCCACCATCATCAGTTTTTATGTGTAGCGTTGTTGCTGCTTTAAGCCTTGGCATGCTTTTTTGGCACGCAAAACGTATTTTGATTGATAAATAGAGACAATAAATGACTGAAACCTAGGAATTAATTTGATTTGGAGTTAATAACAATGATAGGTAAAAGTTCAGCTGATTCTCATGAACCTGGCAGCGTCGTGCGTCGCGCCGCAACTTTCACACCAAAAAGATTGGGCGATCGCCTGCGGCCCAACCCGCAGAAGAAGAAGATGAGCCTTATAAATAATGAAAGTTTCTCGTCGGCGATTTATGTGTCGAACCACCAGCGAACGTCTTCCTCGTTAGCATTGCGCTAAATGCCGTAAAAATTGCCTTTCAATTTCCTGATGCTTTTTGCACGGTTGGTACAGTTTGTCCAAACTCGGGGTGGCACCACATACGGGTGGCCACTTCGCATCTTTTGGTTGGGTTTAATCAAAGTAAAACAACAAAAATCGGTACCTTTTCACGTAAAGTGGGCTTCGTTGGCAGATGTTAGCGGCAGCGGCGCATAAACAAATTACCGTCGATAATTAAACGTCTGCGTCATATTTGAATAACTCAGTCTACGCGCGGCTCTAATTGGGCATTACAGGCCTAACGGTTCGAATGTAGTAACATTTTCCTCGGACAAATAAATTTTATTATTTTCATAAGCACTTAAAAGACTTACGGGATCTTGGTGTAATTAAGCAATCGCAGAAAAACCTCCATCAGGCCCCCAGCTAAGGTACTGTTAAAATCATTAACAATTCTTGGCTTTAAAGTTCGTCGATTAATTGATAGTGTTTTTATGTCAGAGTGCAATTGTTTCTAATGCACATTGTTTATGTTGCCTTGTCCCATAAAAATGATCCGGTCCAGTTTATCCGCACTAATTGATCGCTCGCTGACCAATTAAGTGGTGGAATTGGTGGCGACGATTAAACCGAAACAGAACCACCTTGAATGGAAAAGGCGGTCTAACCTTAACTTTTAGTCTCGACTTAATTGAATTCAGCCTCATCTGCTTTTCGGATGCCATTCGATTAGTTTTTATTCAACAGTGCCATTGCCATTGATTCCGATCCAATGGCTTGGTCAGAATTCGCTGATTTTCTCACTCTTGAGTCGCCATAAGAACAGCGGAACCCGAGCCAGACGCCATCATGAAATCCAATTAACTAGATCGAGTTTTTGCCCCAGGATTCCTTCAGAGAAATTCTTCAAAGAGGAGAAAAAATCACCATCATCGGGCCCGATAGACGCGAGTCATTATTAAGCGATGATTATCGGTGAAGGTGAAACGAAATTTCGGCTGATGTTTCAATTTATTATTTGCCAAACTGCCGATCACGAACTGGTTGGGTGCAAACAACGTGCTCCCGCCGTTGAATCGTAAGGGTTTCCGCGGCAACGCGCTTGTAACATTGGCGCCCATTGGGCCCTTGCAGCGGGAAGATGTTTGCACCATTGCAGTGGCTCATTTTTTCAGTCGACGGAAGAGAACGGATTCCTTGGGCGGCAAATCGAGCAAATCTGACCGAGTGTGAAGCAATAGCTGTAATTATGCAACTGCATTCCTGGCGTTTTCGCAGTTGCCGCTCGAAAGGGCAAAATCCGTCGGCTGCACTGCGAAGGCCAACATCAAATGCTATAATATCTGTAAATTCAGAAAATTGAAATGCTGCCATTCCTGCGAGCGAACCGGCACAGCTAATTGTCGTGCATGTCCAGTTTGGCGAATAATCGCCTGAAATCTTCAGTTTTTAGTCGCTTTCAGGCTATTTTTTTCTACACTTCAGCCGAACAGCTCCAGATAATCGTTCCTTCTGCGTTTTTCGGCCACACACACACACCACACAAGTAAAAGTCGATAATTAGCCGTATTATTTAAGCTGAATGTGCCTCAGCGTTATTATTAACTTTCACGTGAGTACCAATCCGATCTTTGGTTACCGATTACCGCTCGGTTGTTTTTTTTTCTTGACCATTTTAATCGGATTACTGTGAATGGGTATCTGCCAAGTCGAACTGGAGCAGTTTTCACTTTCCCCCAAAGGAAATTTTCTATATGAAACAGCAATATAACCAGTATCGGGCGCTGCACTACCGCAGAGCTCCCATAGGGAGAAAGATTTGCTTGCGCGGTTTGCCCTTACCTCCGATGAGCTACAAGCACGAAGGGCAAACCACGCAAGTTAAGTTTCTTTTTCTGTAAAAGAGATATTTTTGAGGTAGATTTTTGGACGGTTTGTATAGAATAACGAAAAATTGTGCGTCAAGTGCAAACCAGGCAAGAAAAATCTCTTGTTCTTTAAGGGTACGTGATAAACGCGGACACGCGAAAAACGTGGAGCGAGGCGATGGGATACAAAATATGTAGTTTGTGTTTTGTCGGCAACCGCAGCGAATTTTGTCACTCTTTAGCTGAATTTTTTTGAAAAACTCACTTTTAGAAGAAATTTCTGGAAGTTTTCTGGATTTTTCAGTCACTAAATCGAAGCGATTGAGCGTTTGACAACACGGATTTTTTAAAAATTCGCCAACGAAAAACTAAAAATTTCTGAATGCGGCTGATAACATCACTGGAAAGAGAAAATGCGGTGCTTTACGTGTGGAAAAACGCACTTTAATCGGGAATTTCTAAGTGTGTCCAGGATTTTTCTGATACTAAAATGGAATCGATTGATCGTTGGCAACACCGATTGTTCAAAAATTCGCCACGAAAAAACCAACAATTTCTCAAGCCTGCCCAGAATATCACGCGAAAGAGAAAACCAGCAGCTTTAAAGGAGGAAAAACTCACTTTCCAGGGAAATTTCTGCGAGTTTCCAGTATTTTTGCAGTTACTAAGGCAAGGCGATTGGCCGTTGCAAAACACCAATTTTTCACAAATTTGACCCGAATGAGCCAAAAATCTCGCAATCTTGCACATAATTTCACTCTAAACAGAAAATCTGCAACTTTTGAAAAAGGAAAACCCAATTTTAATAGGAAATTTCTGGGAGTTTTCATGATTTTTTCGGATACCAAATGGAAGCGATTGATCGTTTTCAACACCGATTGTTCAAAAATTCGCCACGAAAAAACCAACAATTTCTCAAGCTTGCCCAAAATATCACGCGAAAGAGAAACCAGCAGCTTTAAGGGAGGAAAAACTCACTTTCCAGGGAAATTTCTGAGAGTTTTCAGTACCTTTGCAGTTCTAAGGCAAGGCGATTGGCCGTTGCAAAACACCAATTTTTCACAAATTTGACCCGAAAGAGCCAAAAATCCCGCAATCTTGCACATTATTTCACTCGAAAGAGAAAATCTGCAACTTTTGAAGGAGGAAAACCCAATTTTAATAGGAAATTTCTGGGAGTTTTTATGATTTTTTCGGATACCAAATGGAAGCGATTGATCGTTGGCAACACCGATTTTTCAAAAATTCGCAACGAAAAAACCAACAATTTCTCAAGCTTGCCCAGAATATCACGCGAAAGAGAAAACCAGCAGCTTTAAGGGAGGAAAAACTTACTTTCCAGGGAAATTTCTGAGAGTTTCCAGTACTTTTGCAGTTCTAAGGCAAGGCGATTGGCCGTTGCGAAACACCAATTTTTCACAAATTTGACCCGAAAGAGCCAAAAATCCCGCAATCTTGCACATAATTTCACTCGAAAGAGAAAATCTGCAACTTTTGAAGGAGGAAAACCCAATTTTAATAGGAAATTTCGGGGAGTTTTTATGATTTTTTCGGATACCAAATTGAAGCGATTGATCGTTGGCAACACCGATTTTTCAAAAATTCGCCTCGGAAAAACCAACAATTTCTCAAGCCTGCACAGAATATCACGCGATAGAGAAAACCGGCGGCTTTAAAGGAGGAAAAACTCACTTTCTAAGGAACTTTCTGAGAGTTTCCAGTACTTTTGCAGTTACTAAGGCAAGGCGATTGGCCGTTGCAAAGCAGCAACTTTTTCACAAATTTGACCCGAAAAAGCGAAAAATCCCTCAATCTGGCTCATAATATCAATCGAATGAAAAAATCGACTGTTTTACTTTCTTCTTCTTCCATTTGCCGGTGTCACCAGAAATGTCAATAGAATCAGGAAAACGGGATTTCCGAGACTTAGCAATCTCCATGTCGATTTATTGCGTTATTTGCATACAGCGGCCGTTTTCATAATGAAGTGCGTTGTTTAACCTTTCTAAAAGTTTAATATTTAACATTGTTATAGCACACACGTAATCACGTAATGCGATAATAACAACTGGGGAAAAAATCGACAACCTTTACAAAGCAATCAAATCAAAAAATGCTTACGGTTACCGCATATGATTTGCATGCCGACAGGGTCTCTACTTAAATAATCAATTAATTGTTTAAACATGGGAAATTGTCTTAATGTTTGAATTTGAGGAATATTTTGTCAATTTGGGGTTGTTTTTGAGGTGGATTTGCCTTCTTGAGAGTGGAAAGTCAAAGTTTTGCGTGGACTGAATGACAGCGAATTGTTTCACTAGCCAAGTCTTTCTTCGCCTTTCCATTAAGAATCGAGTGGCGACACATGGAAAAAATTGCGCAATTTCCAATTTTATCGTTGTAAATTGATGGTAACTCACTTAGCAACTGAATTCGATGTGACATGGGGACTGATCATTAGCGTGGATCAAGGCAAACGACTTTTTCGACTTAAAATTGGTCGGTCGTGAAAAAAATGACAAAATAACACACACACACGTACATTTCCTCATAAATATTTATTGAACATCCTCCTAATTATGTACACAATTCCGTTAACTATACCATTAAACAGTACAAATGGCACTTAATTGATAAACATATGCAATTGTTATTAAATTATATACCTGACGAACGCCCTAAGTACCTAAGAATGTACGTATATACAGAGGAAAGCACATCGCGAAGATGGTGGTTGCTTCGTCTCTAACGCTTAATTTTCACCTCCAATTGGGGACTTAAATCGTCTACACGTTGCTACACCGTTTAAGCATCTTTGGATAACAGCGGACTCCGGTTTCCATTCAATTCGATCCAGCTTGATTTGAGCAATTTTGACCATCAGTGTGTAACATGCACATTCTGAATATGTATCTGTCTGCTACAAGTAATAACGCTATTTTCATAATAAGGGCTAATAAATTATCGATTAGGGTTAACGCACTTATGGGGTAATATCGTAATGGTTCTTAAGTTCTACGCTAAACTGTACAACTTGTTTGGGGTCGGATTGTTGGGGGTGTGGAACCTTTAAACTGTGGACAGTTTCAATGGGTGCGAAAGTCGTTTAAGCTTCCGGGAAAATTGTGAAGCGGCTTTGCAAAGTTTTGCGCAGCTTTTCATTTGCTGAAGAAAACCAGGTTTTAAAAAAGGCGTTCAACATTTTAATTAAGGGACTGATAAGTTTGGGTGTTTCTTGAAATTCCGAAGAAATTGAATGGTTTTCCAGAATTTCATTGAAAAAGACACAATGGAAAAATGCGGCTTTTACATCAGGACACGCGAATCTCTGTTTAAAAAAATCAGTGAACATAAAAATGGAAAAAGTCTCCTGCAGGAATCGTAAAGGTGGGGCAAAAACCTGACAAAACTTGATCAAGTTGGCAAATTTCAATCCAATCACAGGGGATGCAAACTTGCATTATAGCGTGTATAAATCCGGGTTGTGGTTACATTCAACCATTGAATAAAAATGGCCTGGCGCTTTCGACTTTTAAGTCATCATCAGAGCCGTCGCCCCTGATGATCACAAATCAATCAAATGAAACAAGATTGCGGGATTTTTGGCTTTTTCGGGTAAAATTTGTGAAAAATTAGTGTTTTCCAACAGCCAATCGCCTTGCCTTTCCAAGTACTGGAAACTCTCAGAAATTTCCCTAGAAAGTGAGTTTTTCCTCGTTTAAAGCCGTCGGTTTTCTCTTTCGCGTGATATTCTGGGCATGCTTGAGAAATTCTTGGTTTTTCCGTGGCGAATTTTTGAAAAATCGGTGTTGCCAACGATCAATCGCTTCCATTTGGTATCCGAAAAAATCATTAAAACTCCCAGAAATTTCCTATTAAAACTGGGTTTTCCTTTTTCAAAAGGTGCAGATTTTCTCTTTCGAGTGAAATTATGTTCAAGATTGCGGGATTTTTGGCTTTTTCGGGTCAAGTTTGTGAAAAATTGGTGTTTTGCAACGGCCAATCGCCTTGTCTTAGTAACTGCAAAAATACTGGACACTCTCAGAAATTTCCCTGGAAAGTGAGTTTTTCCTCCTTTAAAGCTGCTGGTTTTGTTGGTTTTTCCGTGGCGAATTTTAAAAAAATCGGTGTTGCCAACGATCAATCGATTCTATTTTAGTATCCGAAAAATCCTGGACACACTTAGAAATTCCCGATTAAAGTCCGTTTTTCCACATGTAAAGCACCGCATTTGCTCTTTCCAGTGATGTTATCAGCCGCATTCAGAAATTTTTAGTTTTTCGTTGGCGAATTTTTGAAAAATCCGTGTTCCCAAACGCTCAATCGCTTCGACTTAGTGACTGAAAAATCCAGAAAACTTCCAGAAATTTTCTCCAAAAGTGAGTTTTTCAAAAAAATTCAGCTAAAGAGTGACAAAATTCGCTGCGGTCGCCGACAAAACACAAACTACATATTTCGTCTCCCATCGCCTCGCTCCACGTTTTTCGCGTGTCCGCGATTATCACGTACCCTTAAAGAGCAAGAGATTTTTCTTGCCTGGTTTGCACTTGACGCACACCTTTTCGCTATTCTATAAAAACCGTGCAAAAATCTACCTCAAAAATATCTCGTTTACAGAAAAAGAAACTTAACTTGCGTGGATTGCCCTTCGCGCTTGTAGCTCATCGGAGGTAAGAGCAAACCGCGCAAGCAAATCTTTCTCCCTATGGGAGCTCTGCGGTAGTGCAGCGCCCGCCACTGATTATATTGCTGTTTCATATAGAAAATTTCCTTTGGGGGAAAGTGAAAACTGCTCCAGTTCGACCCATTCACAGTAACCCGTCGTCCCTGATGATGACTTAATAGTCGAAAGCGCTAGGCCATCTTCATTCAAGGGTTGAATTCAACCACAACCCGGATTTATACACACTATAATGCAAGTTTGCATCTCCTGCGGTTGGACTTTCTTCAGTGTGTGAAGACCCGCTTTTGACTGCTATTCCCGAAAATTGGACTCAAATCGCAAGAATCCAGTTAAAAATAAAAAATGAAACCCCAAGCCCACAGACGATCTGCAAATTCCCAATTGTCCACTTTGAACACTGCATTTGCTGCCCAACAATCCGCCCCCCGAAGAAGCAGGTAATGCCATTGAAACTCCACCGTCTCTGTCCATTTTGCGTCGTCCTGCAACAAAGAATGGACGTTAATCAACGAACTGCTTGCGCCCACTTGCTCCCATTAGTGAGGCCCACCTTTATCTGCGATGTCCGCGCCCGTTGATTTGGGCGCCCG